TTTCGGAATTTTATACTTAAGTTTTAACAAATGTAGTTTATTTAGTATTTCATAAAAATTTGTGATTCTTTTTATATTCTTTTAGTACAAATCATAAATATCTACTAAAAAGAGCCTCTAATAGTATAATTACTTTATACCCGAGTTGATTAAAACTAAGATTCAAAAGAAATCAAAATAGAATTCGTAAGATTTTTACTAATATATCTATTGCCTTAGAATTAAAATCGCTATAGAAATCAATAGTTGTGCTTTTATAAAGATTTCCAAATACTATTTTATTGCAAATAAATTTCATAATAACATAAAAATCTTTAGATTTTTACTAGTTTATATAATTATTACAATCAAGAAACATTAGATGGCATTTTCAAACGTCTATAACAAAGCCAATTTCTAACTGACACCTATTATTATGTGTAAATAACGAATTATAAAATTTTAGAAACCAAATTAAGTTCAAAATTATAATATAAGATCATAATTACCAAAACTTTTAGCAATATTAAGCATAATGCATTATAGTTAATAAAGATCAAATTCAAGCATTATTTATAAAATCTTTTAGATTATATGGATTATAGATCTAGCAATACTAATAAACAAATAAAAAGATAAAATACTGATTCTATTAAAATTTCAGCTTTATTCTAAAAAAAATTTGCCCAGAATTTTTATAAAGATCAAAGAAAAAAATTTACTCATAATCTCTATAAAGATCAAAAAAAAAGAAAGAATTACACGGAATTTTTATAAAGATCAAAAAAGAAAAAATTTAAAAGATCGTAGCCAACCTGAAATAAGAACCATTCATTAATAAATTTATAAATTCCAGCTATACTTATCTGCCATATCTAACCAATTTCTTTAACACATTAGCACGGTTATTGTATCCAGGTCTAATAAAGTACAATTATTATCAATAATACGACCTGCATAGCTAAACATCTGTTCTGATACAACGTTGTAGCAGGTATAGCTAAAAAGTCTTGGGCCATTGCTGATAAGTTGGGAAGCTGATCCTTATTATGTTTCCACCATTCAAGTATGTTGATATTTTTCGAAGCGATTGGTTCATCTAAATATTGTTTCACTTTGGAAAGTGGATCATTTTTGCTAACCCAGGTTTGTTTTGCTGCATATTTGAAGAAATCATCAATATGATTTTCAAATATTGATATATTACTTTCAATATTAACAATATTTCCATTATCATAATCACTAGTTGATAGGGAATGATATGTGCGAAGATATAAATCTTCAAATCTAACTTTATTGATAATTTTAAAATAAGAATAAAAAAATATTTATATAATATTGGTTAATAAATATACATACTTTACTTGAATATCTTGCATTTTTTCATTAAGATCATATACTGTCAATTTTTCCTTTTCACAATAATAATATGAAATAAATTGCATTTTGTAGCAGGGATCAAGAATACATGCAGTCATATGTAAGAAGCTGCTATGCTCCCAATATTTGTTAAACTTTTCAATTATAGCTTGACAGATATTACGAATAAAGCTATCCAAATGAAATCTCATACTCAAGAGATGAGTACGAATATTCCAGACTGAGGAAAGGATGCTATTAAAAGTTGGGTATGAAGTTGCTGATACTTTTATCGTATCTGTTTTTATTTTAAAAAATAATTTAACTTAGTTATTCGTATTACAAATTATATTCATTATAATGAAATATCCAAATATATACAATTATAAAATGGTTTTAAAACATTACAAAGAGCATCTGCATTATTCCATTCTTCATCATCAGGTACGTCAGGAAATGTTTTATCTCTACCTTTCATTCTAATAATTACATTTAAAACTTTTGTAGCTGATTGTAACATCAGGAACGTAAAGTTCTATTGAGTATCACAATCCAATGGCAGAATTACAGGCTTCACAGATTCTGATTCACAAATATCAAAAAATATTTGACGTCGTCTTGGTGACGTGTGTATCACTTTAATACAACCATGAATCTAACCAAATTTATAATAATTATTAGCATCTAATATTATTATAGTAATCTTTATATTTAATAAAAATAATTAATCAGTTTTTTTTAATTAATATATAGAATTACCTTTCTAATAATTACTCTGATTTGCTTTAGATCATCCTTTATGATAAGATTTAAAATGTGGGTAAGACAACGATTATGAAAAAGCTCTTCATTAATCTCAATATATGAGTCTTGTGAAATAAGATTAGCTAGTTTATGAATTGCAACATCATTTGATGCAGCATTGTCAAGTGTAATTGTTTGTAACTGTAATGATAAAGTATAAAATTTTAATTAAGCTTAAATACCAGTATAAAATATAAACTACTTTCTAATTACTTTAGTAGTAATAAACCACTCATCTAGCTCTACCTTGATACAATTCGCAATATTAATTCCAGTGTGTGGATAAGGTATTAGTGGGAATGATAGTAAAATAGAAATAAGGTTTCATTCTTTGTTAAAAAAATATGCAGTAACTGCTAAGTATCCAAGTTGCTGAAGTGATGTCCAAGTATCACATATAAGAGAAATTCTACCTTCAGCATTCTGAAGGATTTCTTTAATTAATGTTTTTCTTTTACTATAAGCTTTTATGACATCTTGCTTTGTTGTATCAGCACTAATACTGAAGTCAGGTAATAATCCATTAATGAGCCTGCGAAAACCTCACCCTTCTACAAACTGGAAGCTTAACTCATCTAAAACTACTATATCAGTTATGTCTTTTCTGGTTGAATCTTTCGAATATAGCCTTTTTCTTGTTTGAGTATCAAATCTTAATTGAGTTTGGCCATTTGGTAAATTTGGATCTGATCCACTATCATTAAATAATGACCTTTGATATTTATGGCAAGAATCTAGATAACGTCGAAAATGTGATGTTTCACTTCCCTTTTTATGACTTAACAACTTATTACAGTATTTGCATTTAGCTTTTTGTTTATCATGTACTATAGAAAAACTATTATATACATGAGATGTATACTTTGATGATGTGGTTTGACTGGAAGTTTCACTATTAGTTTGGCTAATGGCATTAGTAGGTGTACTATTGGTCAAGCCAGTATCAAAGTTGGTAACAGATGATACCAATACAAAAGATGTTGAAGTATAATTATTAGAGATTAATATATCATCAATATTATAGTTATCAATATTGTGATTTTTCAAAGAGTTATCTATGTTAGTAAGTTCATTATAATTATCTGTTGAATCATTCATATTAGCAGTCTTATTGTGACTATTTATAGGATCACTCATATTAACAGAAGCAGAATTGTTTATCTTGATGTTTGGTAGATATTAATATTAGTAAATTTTTACTTCTAGTAATATTTTAAAGCATACTAGTAAACTTATACTGTATTCTAACATACCAAGTTTTTTGGCAGCTTTATGCTTTTTAATAATTGGTAAGTAAGTGTTAGTATATACTTTACTATGTTGGTATTTTAGTGCAATAGTGTGTTTGTACTTTAGTATAATAGCGTGTTGGTACTTTAGTGTGTTGGTATTTTAGTGTGTTAGTACTTTAGTGCTTGGTACTTTAGTGCATTGGCACTTAGTGCGTTGGTATTTTAGTGCTTGGTACTTTAGTGCGTTGATACCTTAGTGCTTGGTACTTTAGTATGTTGGTAATTTAGCATATATATTGGGCAACAGCAATTTTAGTATGTTAGGTGTTGGTTATCATTATTAGTAATTATAGGTTAAAATTTTAAAACCAAAAAAAAAAAATATCTAATTTTTACGTTTATATATTCACCACTCACCGGATTATGATTGGTTGTTAATCATGTGGAATGTTTTAATGAGCATCCATGGGCTAAAAGAGCAGGGTAGCGATATTACCCTAGCCCTACCCATCTTTGTAAGGGCCTAGTATCTGGAGCTCTTACCCTTACCCGGGGTTCAAAAATCGATACTCTGGCCCAACCCTTGTAGTACTATCCATGGGTACCTGTGGGTAGCTTGAGCCCATGCGGAAGCCTACCCGTATGATAAAATTCTTTATTTGGCATATAACTAAAATTGGCGTTAGGGGGCTAACAAATATTAGCTCATTATACCCCCTGGGATTTTTACTTAGTTCCACTCTGAGTCAGTCATTTGACACAGTAAAACTTGCAAAAAATGCATAATTAGGTTTTTGACAGTTGACAATATAAACTGTCAAAAACCTAATTATGCATTTTTTGTAAGTTTTACTATGTCAAATGACTAACTCAGAGTGGGACTAAGTAAAAATCCCAGGAGGATATAATAAGCTAATATTTGTCAGCCCTCTTAATGATGTTGACCATAAGTTCACATATGTACAGTAGCCCCCAAAAGTAATGTCTGATGTTTTTTTTATAGTAAAACATATAAAAAATTAAAATTTACTAACTACATTAAAAAAAAATTTTGTTACACCTTTTGACACCAAATTCAGACAAAATGATATTTAATTTCAAACAAAATGACATTTAATTTCAGACAAAATGACATTTAATTTCATACAAATGACATTTAATTTCATACAAAATAACATTTAATTTCATACAAAGTAACAAAATATTATGTAATTTCTAGAAGCCCCTTAATAATAAGCAATTTTGATTCTTTAAATAGAAATTTGTTTAAGAAGATTTAAAATATTAAAGTAACTCTAAAGATTAGAGAGAGATGTGAGAAGATATATTTGTTAAATGAATTGTATATTTAAATTATAAAAGTTGCTTAAAATATTATTTGATATATTTTTAGAAAGGTATAATATATATTTTATTTGGGTAGATATTTGTAATAATAAATTGTTTAATTTAGTTTAGAGAAGTAAAATAACTTGTATTAGATATTCTAAAAAAGTATTAAGAATTATGTTTATAATATATATAATATAAATAAATAAAAGTTTTTTGTATTGTATTGTATATAGAAGAGTATCAATTTAGTTATAGATTTTTTTTAATATCAGTTAGGTAGAACTATTTCTATCATAGTAAATACCTAAGTATCTAATGTATTTTCTAATTTTAATTTCTTATCTGGATTAATTAGTTAATAAAGTTTCTATATAGTTATCCAAGTAATTCTTTTTTTTCTCCTCTATTAAGATAATCTCTTGGTTGGTAACTTTTTATTAGAAGTTTAATTTTTAGTTACAATAAAGATATATCAAGCCACATATACACTTTAGATATCTAATTTAAGTAGTCTACCTAAAGCATTAGCACTATGCTAGAGGTTCTATACTATTTGTAGTATCTACACTCCAACTACAGAAGTGTCTATTTAAACCCTCTGATCATAATCTAATTTCAAGCTAATAAAGACCTCTAACTATAACTCAACCTTATTATATATCAGATATAAATCTATACAGTATCTAGATT